CCCATTTTACAACCTTTTCTTGCTACTCTTGTCAAATGAATCACTGCGGTTGTTAAGTTAGTCAAACGGATGTGAAGTGAATCTGGCTTCCCCTGTTCCTTTGCTTTGTCAGAGGGTCATAAAAGGTGGCCACATGACCCCGGACATTGCAACTGTCAGAAATATGAGTCAGTTGGCAAAGCCTCTGAATTTTGATCACGTGACCATGGGGATCCTGCCATGGTTGTAAGTGTGAAAAACAGCTGTGGGTGCCATAATTGGTCAGTAAATGAATTGTTGTAAGTGGAGGACTACCAGTAACAGGTGGAAATTTATCAAAGAGACTCCAACCTAGAAATAAGAAGAAATTTCCTGTCAGAGAGAACAACCAACCAGTGGAACGGCACAGCTGGCTTTCAGAAGTTGTGGGAAAAGCCTCTATTCCTGGAGGTTTTCAAGAAGAGATTTGTCTGAAATGGTGTAGAGCCTTTTGCTCAAGCAGGGGGTTGGACTATAAGACCTCCAAGGTCCCTTCCAACTCTGTTATTGTATTGTATTGTATTGTATTGTATTGTATTGTATTGTGTTCTGTTCTACTCTATTCTATATTCTATTCTACTCTATTCTATTCTATATTCTATTCTATTTTATTCTAATCTATTCTATTCTATATTCTATTCTAATCTATTCTATTCTATTCTGTAGTTTATTCTATACTATTCTGTATTCTATTCTATATTCTATATTCTATATTCTATTTCTATTTCTATTTCTATTCCTATTCCTACTCTACTCTACTCTACTCTATTTTCTATTCTATTCTATTCTATTCTATTCTATTCTATTCTATTCTGTTCTGTTCTGTTCTGTTCTATTCCATTCCATTCCATTCCATGTTCAATTCTACTCTATTTCTATTCTACTCTATACTATACTATACTATTCTACTCTATTCTATTCTGTATTCTATTCTATTTTATTCTATTCCATTGCATTGCAGTCTATATTCCATTCTATATCCTATTCTATTTCTGTTCTATATTCTACTCTGTTCTATTCTGTTCTATTCTCTTCTCTTCTCACCTTATTCCATATATTCTGTTTCTATCTCTATTATATTTTTCTGTTCTCCTGTCTTTTCCAACCCTTGGATTTGACTCTCCTAGCAGAGGCTCCTTTCCACGAAGACAGGGGACCAAGTAAATCCTTCCTGGTGGGCCGGAAGACTCAACCCAGATCTGATCCTTCAACCTGCCAACCACGACGCCAGCCATAAAAAAAGTCCGGGCCGTGAATCTTGCCGGCCTGCTGGCGGCCTGCAGCTTCCTTTGGCAGTGGCTTGGCCTTCAGCGATGCCGCCAGCCTGCCTGCTTGCGCCGAGGATAGATTTGCAAAAAAACTGTCGGCACGCTCTGCTCTTGCTGCGTAGAGGCTGGCTCCGTGCCCGTCAGGAGTCCTGCTCCCGAGCTGGCAAAGGCAATTGGCAATTTATCTTGCCGTGCTCCCCCTCCTCGGGCGTTGCTGCTGCTGCTGCTGCTGCGAAGGCCTCTTGAGTGGGCTTTCAATTATTGATGATCCCTGCCTTGCTGCCTCCCCCTCCCCCCCTTTTTTTCCCAGCCAGCATTTGCATTAGCCACGTTTGGAGAGAGGAAGGAAACCAAGCCGACGTGTTTATTTCAAGCCCAAACGTGTCCCCCCCCCCCCCACACATCGTCTTACTTCCAGAAATGCCCCCAAGCCATCAAAAATCCAGCAGGAAGAGAAGAAGGGAAGAGATTTTTGCAGGCTGCTGGATTGTTTCCAGACCTGCATCCTTGGCCCCAGAGGGATAGCTGAGCCTTTGGCCTGACTGACTTGCCTTCCTAGGCCCAGAGAGGCCTACGCTTGGCTACAGTTTACCTCAGAATTGGGGTCACTCTTGCAGACAAGCGACTGGATCGTTGAAGGTTTTTTTTGTTTTTTTTGCCCCTATTCACTTTTGTTAGATTTTTATCCGATTTAGAAGTTGCTCGAGGAGGTAAATGTGCTATAATATTCCTTCCTCCTCCTCCTACTTTCCCCACAACAACAATCTTGCGAGGTGGATTGTGGTAGGAGAGAGAGGGACTGGCCCAAAATCACCCAGGCAGCTTTCACGGCTAAGGCAGGATTAGAACTCCCAGTCTCCTGGAGTTTGGCCCAAAATCCCATCTGGTTTTCGTGCTTACGGTGGGACTAGAATTCCCAGTCACCTGGTGATCGGCCCAAAGACATCCGGCCAGCTTTCATGCGTAAAGTGGGACTAGAACACCCAGCCCTGTGGCAATTGGCCCAAAGTCACCCGACTTTTTCATGCCTATGGTGGGACTAGAAGTCACTGTGTCCTGGCCATTGGTCCAAAGTCACCTGATTTTCATGCCTATGGTGGGACTAGAACTTCCAATCTCCTGGTAATTGGCCCAAAGACATCCGACCAGCTTCCATACCTAAAATAGGACTAGAACTGCCAATCTCCTAGCGATTGGCCCAATGTCACCCAACTGGTTTTCATGCCTATGATGGGACTAGAATTCCCAGACTCCTGGTGATTGGTTCAAAGACATCCCGACCAGCTTCCATATCTAAGATAGGACTAGAACTCCCAGTCTCCTAGCAATTGTGCCAACGTCATTAATTGGTTTTCATGCCTAAGGTGGGACTAGAACTTACCATCTCCTGGCGATTGGATCAAAGTCATCCAGCCAGATTTCATGCCTAGAGTGAAATTCAAACTCGCCATCCCCCGATTTCTAGGTTTGCCGCTTAAGCAGTATCACTAATTCATTCACTGATTTCATGGCTGCTTTGTTGGTCTACTCCGGCAAGCATTTGAATATTCCTGACAAAATTGGGCTGCGGGGGGAGCAGAAAATATTAAAAACAACTGCAACCCTGGGACACAACGAATGAATAATGAGATTTCGCCTTTAGTCTCCGTCTTATGGAGTTGGCAACTAACAGCTCTTGAATTGATTATTATTCCCAAAGTCCCTCTTGACCCTCTCGTATGCAGGCTTGCTGGAAACAAGATTCTCTTTGAGTTGACAGCAGATGAAAACTGCAGTGTAATCTTTAAAACAGGAATACAGGTACTCCACAAGTTACAAATGCCTTCCCAGGGCCTTAAGTCTGTTTTTCTAACCATTAAATTCCATTTGTTGGATAAAAGTCCAGTGTTCAAGTCTGCCGAGATCTTTTTGGATCTTGAGCCTATCTTCTGGGGTGTTGGTCATCCCAGATTTTGATGAGAACTCATCAAAATCTGCAAATTTGATAAGTTCTCCTTCTATCCCCTCATCTAAATCGTCTGTGAAGTCATTCAAGAGTACTGGGCCTAAGACAGAATCTCAGGGTACCCCACTGCATGCTTCTTATTATGTAGATACACATTGTTATCCCAAGCAAAAAGTTTGATATGGGAAACAAACCTGGTATCAGGGTTCCCACAGATGCCCTAATTAATTCATGAGCCTCAAGCTAAGTTTCAAAAGAAATCCAATTATTAGGAGCAACACGTTGGCACTTTCTGAAGTGCAGTCAGCTCTGCCCTATGTAATTTATTGCCCACCTATGACCCTGTTTCCCCCTTCCTATTGTGGTTAGCCGGCAGCAGGTGCAGACGATGGAGGAGAGCGAGGACTCAGATGAGGAGCCAGGACCATTAGGGAGTGAACTGCTGCCTTCAGAGATTGTGGGGGCTGGCAGCAGCGATGAGGAGGTTCCCGAGGAGCCTGTGCCAAGTGCGCGTGTGCGCAGGATTGCTCGTAGGAGCGAGCAGTTACAGCAGCATGGGCGACTTGGGAATAAGGCTGCAAGGTAATGGTCCCTCCCTCAAGAGGATAAAAGCCAGGTTTGAAGAAGCGTTCTTTGCAGAAGGCAAAGACGCTCTAAAACTCAGCCTCATGGACATTATAGTTAGTATTTCAAAACTCTTGTAAACTATTTCTTATCTGTGGGTTTTTGGCAGCCTTGAAAAACAACTTGGCAAGGCTCTTTCTTGTCGGAGCTAAATTAGTTGGAAGCAGCCTTTTATCTGTGAAGAAACAGTATTCGTGGATGAAACCTTAAAAGGTGGGGGCTGCTGCCTTTGTCTTGTGTTTGCTCTCTTGGAACCAGATTGGGTCAGAACACTTCCAGGGTCTGTCATAAATCACATTCTCCAACAGAGCACTTTCTCAATCAATACCATCTGGAGAAAGGTATGCATGGTATGTGTTTCTGGTCTTAGCGACCGAGCTGCTCCATCAGTTCTTCCCCCCTCCTTCTTATGGCAACTCGAGAACAGGCCAGGAATGCTTTACGAGTTGACACCTGGGTCTATAAAGCAAAGATCAATCCCCATTGGCTCTTTTATGTCACCTGACCACTGATATAACTGCAGTACCACCCCCTGTCAACAGAGGCACTCAAACATAACACTTGATAAAACCACAGTGCCTTCTAATGGTATTAACAGAGAATTCCAAACACCGTATCTGTCATCTTCGGAAGCCATATTAGCACCAGAAGCTTCCATAACTGCCATTCTTGAGCCTGGGAAGAAGGGAGGGGGGAATTGCATGGAGCGCATATGGTAGACATAATAGCATTCTTTTTTATAAAGTCAAGGTCATGTTGTTCCTGCACTTGACTGAGTAGTAGCAGAGGGGACATCTCAAGTTGGGACGAATGGTGATTGGGGCATGTGATGGACGGGTGCAGGGGTTGGTTTTATAATATTTTATTTATTGGAGGGAAACCTGGAACTTTCAGATTCGGGATTTCCCAGTTTTCTATACTAATAAAAGGCAACTCTGAGAATGTGTCTGATTTGGAGTTATCTGTTGGGGTAGAGTTTTTCTGGAACACTGACAGTAGCATATTCAACCTTTTCCACTGGAGATTTTTAACCGATATATTTCAACCCTCATTTTCAGCCGCAAAGGGTTTGCGTGCTGGCCAAAAGAAAGAAAACCGAACGAAATTTAAGGAAATCTACAAAGGCAATAACGAAGCGGTCGCAGTTTTAACCAACAATCTGATTTCTTTATTTGAAAAGGCACAGCTATTACATTTTCAATACAGAATTTTGTCTCAGTTCCTCTTAATATAGGGTCAAGTGATTAATAAACACACGGAGCCAACAAGATTTTTCTCTCTCTCTCTTCTCTGTCTCTAAAAGGAATATATACAAACACGAAAAATTATCTTTGTCGTAAAATTTTATTTGGGGAAATCGGAGGAAGAAAAAAAATAAAAAGGCGGGAAGTAGCATTACGGAAAGATAGAAAGAGCTGCAGGATCCTTGGGGTGGTTCTGGTTTTTTTTTTTTTTTTAAAGAAATGGGAAGGGACATATCCACCCCTTCGCATCCTTTTCCACCCCCACATCCTCAACCCCCTGAATTTCAAACCATCCGGCTGAATAATCCAGCTGAGAAAAAGGGAGTCGAGCCATCTTTCGAGAGGTTCCCAAATCCCAGTTTTTTGTTTTTTTTTAAAACCCGAAAAAAAGGAGACCAGGGAAACAGCAAGGCAGGTTAAAAAAAACAACAACACGCCATTGAAGAGGTTCACCCAGAGCCAGAGATACCCAACTAATATATTTATATATTTATATATATTTATATATATATGTATATATATATAAAATTTTTGCTTCTGTGCTACCTTAAAAACAAAGAGACATGCATAATGACAAAGGTGCTTGCTTAGCTAAAACAGTGCTGGTGGGAGCAGAGGAGGGCCAGCGAGAGAGGAGTCGATTGGGCAGGGCAGGAAGGAGGGGTGTCGAGGGATGTGGGGTGGGGGCCTTTGCAAAGCCCAGAAGATACTGCTTGCGAGGGTTCGGGGTTCGGGGGGGGATCAGTGGCGAGATGGATTTCGCAGAGAAGAAGCCCCCATCGGCAGATGTGAGCTAAGTGCCGCCAAGGAGGGAGAAAGCAAATTAAGCTACCGACACGTGGCGTCCAGTGGGATCTGGCGGTTTGCAAATTAGCCAATGCCTTGCGGAGATAGTCTGACAGGGTCGGCCCCAGCCAGAACCTTTGCAAACCCCCCGCCCCACCCCCAGGAGTCAAACTTGGCTTGCTTTTCAAGGAAATCATCGGTGGGGACCGGTGACTGCTTACGTTGACCACCCAAAATCAAACAAGACAACCCTGCCGTGCGGGACAGTCTTTTTAAGAGGTTTCTCCCCATCCTGTTGTTTTGAGCGTCCTTGAATTAGGGCTGCAACGGAGAGACCCAGAATTTCCACAGCTTAAGCAAGACAGCGGTTAAGGGAGTCGCCCCCTGATGTTATTACCCGTTTGCCTGTGGCCGTTAAGCAAATCGCTGCGGGGTTAAGTGAATCCGTGGGGTTGTATTAAAGGGAAATCCAGCTTTCCTCGCCAGTTTCGCTTCTCGGAAGCCAGCTGGGAAGGTCGCAAATGGGGATCCCGGGGACGTTGCAAGTGTCATAAATACACGCCAGTTGCCTCAGTGCCCGGATTCTGATCACGGGAATAGCCGTATGAGTGGGAGGCCGTTGCCACTTTGAATGGTCACTAGATGAATGGTTGTTAAGTCTAGGACTAGCTGTAATGTGTTGTAATGAACACAGCTGGTGAGGACTTGCAAGCAAGGGCGAGTTTGCTGGATCTAGGATTATTTCTGGAAGGTGGGGAGGGTCAGGGGGGTTTAACCCACAAGGGGGAATTTGTGCTGTTGGGAGGGCAAGCCGAGACCTCTATGACTCCGTTAGAATACAGGTAGTCCTCGGCTTACGGCCAAAACGGAGTCCGACACTTCTGTTGTTAAGTGAGACATTTGTTCCGCGAGGTTTGCCCCGCGTTACGATCTTTCTAGCCGCAGTTGTTAAGTGAATCACCGCAGCGGATAAGTTAGTAACCTGGTTGTTAAGTGAATCTGGCTTCCCCACTGGCTTGCCTTAAAAGGGGATCTCAAAGACCTTGGGACACACTGACGGTCGTAAGTCTGAACCAATTGCCAAACGCCTGAATTTTGATCATGTGACCATGGGGGGGGGGGGGGGGGGAAATGTTGCAAACACCGTAAGTGTGAAAAATGGTCATAAGTCACTTTTTTCGATGCCGTTGGTAACTTCCAATGGTCACTAATTGAACGGCCGCAAGTCGAGGACTACCTGCATCCAAATGGTAAGGATAGTGGGACGCAAAGGGGTGGGTGGGAGATGGGGGCTGGATGCAACATGTGGGGACCTTCATTCTTTGCATGTCAGCCATTTCTCTCCATTTGGGGGCATTTTTAAGAGGGCTGGCGGGTTTCAGAAACTTTGCCGACCTATTTTGTTATCACCCTATCGGAGTTGCCCTCTCCCAATGGAGTCTGGCCTTGCCCACTGGGAGAGGGCACAAACCAGGGATCTCAAATCAGACAGGGAATGATGGTTTTCTTGGCTGGGAAGCTCGGTTTTTCAACGGTGGCCATTTTAAGAACCGTGGACTTCAACTCCCAGCATTCCCTTGCCAGCAGTGATTGGCTCAGCAGCCATGAGGCAAAAAAAGCTCATCCAATCAGGCGCGAGTCACTTCAGAACACCTTGTTAGCAAAGGGAAATTGGGTCATCAGTCAAGGACAACCTGTACTAAACAATCTTAACGCCCTCCACACTATCCACCTAGGTCAGAGGTCTCCAAACTTGGCAACTGGCTGAGGATTTCTGGGAGTTGAAGTCCACAAGTCTTAAAAGTTGCCAAGTCTGAGGGACCCCTGACCTAGGTCATGAGGCTGAGGGATTCTGGGAGTTGAAGTCCACCCATCTTAAAGGGGCCAGGTTTGGGACCCCTGACCTAGGTCATGATTTATTAAAGTGAGGCTGAGGGATTCTGGGAGTTGAAGTCCACAAGTCTTAAAGGGGCCAAGGTTGAGACATACAGGCTAGGAGGGCACCAGTGACTGGTGTTCCCCCCCCCGCCCCCACCTGTGGCTGAAAAGTTCCAGCTGTGTGATGGGAGGGGGGAGGAAATTTCCAGAATCTCTGGTTTCTCTGTAAATCTAGGATCGGGCAACAAACCCACATCCTTCCTTCCCCTTGGATAACTAACCCAGTTTGTTAACTTTCTGGCCTGACGAGACAAGCCATTGCGTGGAATCCTCGCAAAAAAAAGGCCTGGGGAAGCAGCATGGGTGTGGGGAGGGAATAACCCAGTTTAAGAACGCATCGTGGATATTCTTGATGCTGGCTTAACCTTTCGGGATGAATTTAAAGGGAGGAGGGGAGATAAGAAAGGGGAGGGGAGGTCCACCCCCTCAAAAAAAGGACGCAAAGGCCCCCAATTCATGCCTGTTTATGGGGCTGGAATGGAGGAGGGGCAGGAAAAGGAGGGGGGGCTAAAATGTTATTGCTGCAATTTTGTCTCACCCCACCCTTTTGAAGAACCGTAGTTTGCCCGCCACCCCCAGAATTGGATTAAACGCGGTATCTTCTGCCCCCCCCCCCCAGGACCCCCCCACGCTGCCCACCCGCCCCCCCCCCGGACCGGACGAGATCCACCTAGTCAGATTTTTCCCCGTCGTCTTCTTGGTGGGCGTCTCCGTCGTGCCCGTTCTTGTCTTCCTTGCAGAGGTGGGCCTGGGAGCCCAGCGCCGAGAGGGAGAGCAGGCCGGTGCTGGCGCTCACGGCGGGCAGGGAGGGGGCCTGCAGCCCCACAGAGAGCGGGGTGAGGGGCAAGGCCAGCGCCTGCAGCTGAGAGAGCTGGTGGGCTTGGAGTTGCTGCTGTAGCGGAGACCCGGGAGAGAAAAAGGAGACGACAAATAAAAGAATGAGACACTTTCATCCCCCACCTTCGCCTTCTTCCGATCGCAATTGCTACAAGTGGTCTTCGACTTACGACAGTTCCTTTAGTGACTGTTACAATGGCACTGAAAATAGCAATAGCGCTGAGGCTTATATCACAGGGCTTTACAGCCCCAGAGTCAGCCTACGGTTCCCAACAATCTGGGTCCTCATTTTACCGGCCTTGGAAGGACGGAAGTCAAACCTGAGCAGGTCAGGATCGAACTTAGTGGGCAGAGTCACTCTGCAATACTGCATTCTCACCACTGTGCCATCACGGTAGGTCTGTCCTTCCTTCCTTCCTTCCTTCCTTCCTTCCTTCCTTCCTTCCTTCCTTCCTTCCTTCCTCTCCCTCTCCTCTCTTCCTTCCTTCCTTCCTTCCTTCCTTCCTTCCTCCCTCCTCTCCTTCCTTCCTTCCCCAAAGCACTTATATTTATATACCGCTTCGCAGTGCTTTACAGTCCTACATGGTTTACAGCAGGGATCCCCAACCTTTTCGACGCCGCGGCCCGGTTCCGGCGTCAGCTGGGCGCCGCGGCCCGGTTCCGGCGTCAGCTGGGCGCCGCCATCTTTTTTTGACGAAAAATTGCTTTTTTTACCAAAAAAAGATGGCGGCGCCCAGCAACCAGCGGCCCGGTAAGGCTTGTTCCGCGGCCCGGTACCGGTCCGCGGTTGGGGACCCCTGGTTTACAGAAGTCAGCCTATGGCTCCCAACAATCTAGGTCCTCATTTTACCCACTTCGGAAGGACGGAAGGCTGAGTCAACCCTGAGCCGATCAGGATTGAACTAAGTGGGCAGAGTCACTCTGCAATACTGCATTCTCACCACTGTGTCACTACAGTTCTTCTTTTTTCTTCTTCCTTCCTTCCTTCCTCCCCCCCTTTTCCAGTTAACCCTTAAGACTTATAACATTAGCAATTAAAGAACAAGAAGTGAAATATTATATGATATGGGATTTATTTTATAAATGGTTGGAAAATAAAGTAAGAAGTTAAATGAATATTGTTATAATGATAAGGTATATAAGGTTGAGCAATTTTTAACATGAATGGAACCACAGTAAGAAATTTATATTAAATATAAATATTTGCACAAGATATATCTACCCAGTCGACACACTGTGTAACTTAAAGATGGATTTGTTGTAAAATAAAATAAAAAAAATCCTAATTAAAAACAAAAAAAAAAACACTTAAGACTTATATACCGCTTCACAGTGCTTTTACAGTCCTCTCTAAGCGGTTTACAGAGTCAGCCTATGGCCCCCAACAATCTGGGTCCTCATTTTACCGACCTTGGAAGGACGGAAGGTTGAGTCAACCTGGAGCCTGGTGAGATTTGATCTGCCAAATTGTAGTCAGCCGGCAGCCAGCAGAAGTGGCCCTGCACTACTGCCCTCTAACTGCTGCACCACCGCGGCTCATAAAAAGGTGACTTTACGACCATTTTTCATACTTATGACCGTTGCAGCACCCTTGATTCTGGGAATTCAAGTCCACACATCTTAAAAGCACTTACCGGTAGTCCTCGACTTACAACAATTCACTTAGTGACCATTCAAAGTGACAAGGGCATTGGGGGGGGGGGGGGAGAAAGACTTACCAATGTGCCTACCGTTCCCTATCCTAGTTTTTTTTTCTTATATGTATCCATTTTATGTATTCATAACTATATTTATACTTACACCTGTTATCTTATAATCGCTTGACAAAATAAATAAATAAATAAAAATGACTGTTTTCCCCACGATCACGTGATCAAAATTCAGAGGCCCGGCAACTGGTGGGGGGGTGTTGATGATGGTCGCAGTGTCCCAGGGTTCACTTTTGCGACTTTCTGACAAGCGAAGTCAATGGGAAAAATCCGATTCACTTAACAACCGTGTTAATAAACTTAACAGCCACAGGGATTCGCTTAACGACAGTGGCAAGAAAGGTCACCAAAACCAGGCAACATTTGCTTTGCTCACATCTCACTTAACTCCCCCTAGAGGTCAGGGGTCCCCAAACTTGGCAACTTTAAGACTTGTGGACTTCAAACTCCCTTTCAATTCATTCTGAAAGGTTAAGCCAGCATCAGAATATCCACGATGCGTTCTTAAACTGGGTTATTCCCTCCCCACACCCATCCTGCTTTCCCAGGCTTTTTTTGCCAAGACTCCACACAATGCCTTGGCCCGTCAGGCAAGAAACTTAACATACTGGGTTAGCTATCCAAGGGGAAGGAAGGATGTGGGTTTGTCCCGAACCTAGATTTACAAGAAAACCAGAGATCCTGGAAATTTCCTCCCCCTCCCATCACACAGCTGGAAGGTTTTCAGTGGGGCGGGAGGAGACCAGTCACTGGTGCCCTCCCAGCCTATGTCTCAACCTTGGTCCTTTTAAGACTCGTGGACTTCAACTCCCAGAATCCCTCAGTCTCAACTTTACGAAATCATGACCTAGAGGTCAGGGGTTATGTTGGCTGAGGAATTCTGGGAGTTGAAGTCCACAAGCCTTAAAAGTTGCCATGTTTGGCTGCACACGCATGCGCCCGCTCTAAATTAACAAAGCCACGTGCCCGTCAAACAAGAAGATATATGAAAGCAGGGAGCGCTTCTAATGGTTATATATCCCCAAGACCCCACCCCTCCCATCCGTTCTAACAAAAAGAGCATCACAGACCCGGATGATGGAATTCAGTTCAGGAGCAGTCACTTGTTTGGCACGCTCGATGGCTCCCAGGACCTGCTGTTGGTGCTGGGGGGGGGGGGGGGCGGGGGGGGGGGGGGGGAGGAAGAGAAAGAGAAAACCATTAGAAGATGATGTGAACCGATCAGCAGGAGGATCAGAGGCAGAAGGGGGAAAAAAAGACAGTGTGGTTTGATGAGCCAATTTGTGCCGGAAAATGGCGTTTTCCATTCTTAACATGTTATCCAGATGTTCGGACTGGATTTGGCACTTGTGGCCCACCTCTGGAGTCCTTCCCAAAGACCTGGGATAGGCAGATGGGGAATGTTGGATGGGGTTGAAGGTACCGTCGCAGGATGTCAGCTGTTCCAAGCAAAGCTGCCTTTTTGCAATTGTGACTGGTTTCGTCAATGCCGATGATGTTCATGCGTGCCAGATGCTTTGGGGCTGCTATCTTTGCTTTGTATCGTTATGATTCTGCTAATTCTCCCTTGTTTACCTCCACCAGGAAACGCCGTAACTCAAGAGGGGCCCCTCCCCAAATGCCTGCCGTTATAACCCGAGAACTTCCCAAGGCATCCCTACATGCCTTACCTGAAGCAGGGAAGGGGGAGATTTGAAGGGGTGAAGATTCAGATAGTGAAAGCCCCGAATTAAGGCAAGCTGAGATACCCGACTTTTCCAAGCCAAATTTTCAAAGCCAAGCATGAAAGCTGGCTGGGTGATGCTGAGCCAATCACCAGGAGAGTATGAGTTCTAGTTTCGCCCTAGGCATGAAAGCCAGCTGGGTGATTTTGGACTGTCTAGGGTATCATAAATTATCAGAGGCAGCTCTCTCTGAGTGCGAAAATTTGCTAGAGATGGTCACACCAGTGGAGTCGCTGCTTATGGCAGTGTCATGAATCACTATCATGGAAATAGTGAGTTCTAGTCCCACCTTAGGCATGAAAGCCGGCTGGGCTATTTTGTACCATCTAGCAAGGAGATAGTGAGTTCTAGTCCCACCTTAGGCATGAAAGCTACTTGGTGACTTTAGGCCAATCACCAGGAGGTGAATTCTAATCCTACCTTAGGCATGAAAGTTGCTGGGTGATTTTAGGCCAATCACTGGGAGACTGTGAGTTCTAGTTCTACCTTAGCATTAAAACTGCTGGGTGACTTTGGGCCATTCTGTAGGAGACAAGTGAATTCTAGTCCTGCCTTAGGCATGAAAGCCAACTTGGTGACTCTGGGCCGATCACCAGGAGACTGTGAGTTCTAGGCATGAGAGCCTGCTGGGAGGCTTGGAGCTGATAATTAGGAGACTGTGAGTTCTAGTCCCACTTTAGACATGAAAGCCAGGGTAATCTGGAGCGGGTCATAGTTCTTATTGCGGGGAAAACAGGAGGAGGAAGGGATGTCGGATATTTCCGCTGCCTTGAGTTATTTGTAAAAACAATAAAAAGTGGGATATAAATAAATAAAAGTCGAACGAATAAAAAGAAAAGTTCCAGAGCAAAGAAAGGGGAATTTACCTCTTGCGACAGATATGGCAAAACCTGGGCACAAATGCCATTCAACCGCTTGACAATTTCAGCCTGAAATGGAAGATTTAGACACAAGGTTAACCCAGAGAAGCGTACTTCAATCAGCTGCTTGGAACAAGGCGACAAAAATGTGCTAGTGCATTTATGTGGCAGTGACAACCCAAACTCCAAAGCCAATGACACCACTGCAGCATTTTGCAAGGGACATCGTTAACAGTGTTTGTCGGGACAGGCTGCAAAATGACAAAAGGCGCATCGGTTGTGTCTTTTGCGTGGTGCGAAGGTGACACACGCTCCCTTTCAGTGGGCCTTCCTGAACGATGGGCAACGTTTCCGCCTTAGTACATCGGTTCAAAGACGCATCCCAGGGAATTCATCGGGTTTCTGGCTTCACACAAACACTTTTGAACTCTCAACACCGATTCGTGGAGGTTGGATTGTGCGAATGCACGCAAGTCTGTGTGCTGTGGGGACCGTGCCAGCTTTAACAAAATGAAAACAATTTGAGGTTAAAAAAAAAAAAAGAGCAAAAACAATGCCCAAAGTAAAGATGGGAATTATGTAGCCATTCTCAAACTGGTGATTTAAAGATGGATGGACTAACTCCTAGAATTATCCAGCCAGCCATTTTGGCCAGGGCATTCTGGGAATTGAAGTCCACCCATTTTAAAGCATACCGTCTGGGGGACTCTGGGAGGTGAAGTCTACCATCTTAAAGCACACTCACTGGGGAATTCTGGGAGTTTGAAGACCATCATCTTAAAGCCTGCTGGCTTGGGAATTCTGGGAGTTGAAGTCCACCCATCTTAAAGTCGCCATTTTGAAAAAACACTGATGCAGACAGTGGCCAAGAGAAATTTCCCAAAGTCCCCACTGAAAAGGGGAAAAAGTCTTTGGGGGGATTTTGGTTTTCCTAAGAAAGGGATATGGGAATTGTAATTGTACAGTATTTTCACACAATTCAACCTCACGGTAATTTCTCAAAAATAAAAAGAAAAGAAAAAAATGCAGTCAGCTTCGTGGTTTAACAACCGGTGTTAGAAGATCTGGGACAAGTTTACTGGGCTACACCAGTTATGGGCAACTATGGCCCTTTTACACCTGATGAACATTAACTCCCAGAATTTCTGAGCCAGTATGATGTGGACTTCCACTCCCAGAATTCCTGAACCAGCATGGCTGACTCAGGAATTCTGGGAGTGGAAGTCCACAGGTCTTAAAGGAGCCACAGTCATTCATTCCCAGGCTGGCCAGTAGCCTCAAATTGCATTTTAATTTTTTAAAAAAATATTAAGACAAGAATAAAGAAACGAGCTGGGTGGAGCTCATAAACCCCTCTTTTAATTAAATTTGTTTGCCTCCTCACGGCGTCTTGAAAAGACCAGGTGTGATCTGCAGATCGTTGCAGAAGGAAGTCAGAGCAGGTAGAGGATGACACGCAGATCGGATTAGCTGCAATTTAATTCAAATGTCATTTAAATGAAATTTCAATTATATTTAGCTGGTGTCTGGCAGACACGCCTGGTTGTTTGTAAGAGCTCTGCTTGTTTGAAGGGGTGGGGTAGCGGCCCTGGATATAATCTAAAACAGCACGTAGCCGATGACCTAAAATGTTCTCCAAGGGAGGAGATAAAAGTAAGAAAAACCCACTCCTCATTCAGCGGCCGTATACAGGTAGTCCTCGACTTACGACGGTTCGTTTAGTGACTTGTTTAGAGTTACAATGGCACTGGAAAAAAGCGACTTATGACCATTTTTCACACTTACGACCACATCTCCACGGTCACGTGATTAAAACCCAGACATTTGGCAACTGACTTATATTTACGACATATTTATGACCAGCAAAGTCAATGGCGGAGTTAGATTCACTCAGCCACAGTTTGACTAGTTCCGTGATGGCGAACCTATGGCGTGCGTGCTACAGGTGGCACGCAGAGCCATTTGTGTGGGCATGCAAGACCCAGCCAAACTTACCTGCACTGCACATGCGCACGCCTCCCAATTGATTTTCGGCCCGTTTGAGGCCGTTTTCGCCCTCCCGGAGGCTTGAGGGAAGCCTCTGCAGCCTTGGGAGGCTGAAAAACAGGCCCGTTTCGGCACTTCCGGTATTTCCAGAAGGCCTCAAATGGGCCGAAAATCAGCTGGGAGGTGCACACCTGCGCAGGTAAAGGGGGCAGGGCGGGGGTGTTGCGCACGCATATGCGGGGGGGGGAGGGCGGAGCACATTGCAATGTGGGTGCCCGCGCGCGTGCCTTCGGCATACCGCAACAAAAAGGTTCGCCATCACTGGACTAGTTTAACAACTGCAGTGATTCACGGTGGCAAGAAAAGTCGCGAAATGGGGCAAACTCGCTTAACTAATGTTTCACTTGGCAACAGAGTTCTTAGGCTCAATTGTGTTCTTAAGTCAAGGGCTGCCTGTGTAAGGCTGCCTTAAAAGTCCCTGACAGGGAGAAGAATAATCTTAAAATCTCACCTGCTTATGCATTTCGATGTTGAGGCCATAGGACATCTCGTAATACTGGAAGGAAAGAAAAAGAGAGAGAGAGAGAAAAAATTAAAATATATCCTTGTTAGATTAAATCTAGGCCTGTTTCCTGTCTCCTAATTTCTGGAGTTGCCCGTACAGGATTTGAACCCAACCCCTGATTTTACTAAGAGAGAAGTACTCCATATTATGATCGTGGCTGGTCACAGCTTCTCTTTAGGCAAACAACGGGGCCGTGTGTGACAAGATTAGAAACAGACAAAGTTGTGTATTCTCCGTCTCGGGGGTGGGGGGGGAGATTTTAAGATTCTGTGATTGCAAAGAGCTCGACTAGATGACCCTTGGTGGTCCCTTCCCAGTTCCCAATTCTGACACTAATTGGCTTTCCTGCTCATTGCAAAGGGCTGGGCTAGATGACCCTTGGAAGCCCCTTCACAATTCTTGGCGCTTTCCGATTTTCCTGCCAATCGCAAAGGAGTGGAATAGACCACCTTTAGGGATCCCTTTCCACACCACAATTCTGACACCAACTAGTTTTCCTGCCCATTGCAAAGGGATGGAATAGGTGACCTTTAGGGGGGTCCCTTCCCGGTCCACAATTCTATCTGGCTTTCCTACCCATTGCAAAGGACTGATTACCTTTGGGGGTCCCTCCCCAGTCCACAATTCTATCACACTAACTGGTTTTTCTGCCCACTGCAAAGGGCTGGACTAGATGACCGTTGGGGTCCCTTCCCACTCCACAATTCTATCACACTAACTGGTTTTCCTGCCTATTGCAAAGGGCTGGACTAGGTGACCCTTGGAAGCCCCTTCCCACTCCACAATTCTATCACTCTCTCCATTGCAAAGAGACAGCCTAGATGACCCTTGGAGACCCCTCCCTACTCAACGATTCCATGAATCTCAGCAACAGGAAACAAAACAAAAGAAAAAACCCTTTTGAATTTTAGAAGAGCAACGGCACCCCATGCAATTCCTCTGCCCTTTCCATGCGCCTGCAATTTTGCCACACCCACAATTAAAATTTCCTTCCTGGCACGGGATTTAAATCAAAGCTCCCCTCTGCGGCCAGCAAATTATTATTATTGAAATAGCTTTACCGAAAAAGAGCGTTGGGGCAAGAGAAGATATGGAAGTGGGAAAAGGATAAACAAGATTTAAGAGGAAAGGAAATGGCTGAACCAAGAAAAAGTTTGCATACCGGAAGTCCTCGATTTACAACAGTTCAGTTAGTGACTATTTAAAGTTACAACAGCACTGAAAAAAGAGACTTATGGCTGTTTTTCACACTTAGGGCTAGCATCCCTGTTTTCACGCGATAAAAAATTGGTACACTTAGCAACTGGCATGTATCTAGGACCGTTGCATTGGTGAACAACTGCATTGGTTCACTTAATAACTGTGGCAAGAATGGTCAAATGAGGCAAAATTCACTTAACTGTCTCATTTACCAACAGAAATGTTGGACTCGATTGTGGTCGTAAGTCAAGGATTATCCGTATAGACTATGGGCATATTGATTTTGGTAGCACTTGCCCCAGGTTCTGGCTCCGCCCCCTTTAAATTTGGCCCCTTGACTTATGTCCACTCACCAAGTGACTATTCAGACGCCTGGCAACCAGGCTGAATTTTATGGCCATTTGCATCCTCTTGGGCTCACATAACTAAGTTTTGTGACATTTTTGCCAAATGTTTGGCATTTTCTTTCGGTTTTTGGCAAAACCAAAACCAGAGTGAATCATTAGTTCATTTTATGCCTGTGACGTTCATTTAATGATTGCCTTGCTTCTCTTAATAACACCACAGAAAAGGTTGTGGAATCATAAAATAACAAGATCAATTTTGTTTTACTGCCACAAGTTAGAACTGCAGTGGGCAGCCTCCATTGCAGTCATCACTCAAGGATTACTTTCATGGTCGTAGATCACATGGAGAAATATTGCTAATTCCAAAATTTTATGGCCAGAAAGTTCAGGTTTTGTAGTCAGAAAACCTCAATGTATCCTTGGTACACGTAAGTTCTCAACTTACAACTATTTGCTTAGTGACCATTTAAAATTATGGCATCATGAAAAAAGTAATTTATGAGATTTTTCACACTTAAAGCTAGCAACCCCTCGATCGTGTGATCAAAATTTGGACGCCTGGAAAGTGGCCTGTATTTATGACAGTTCCAGAGTCCTGGGATCAGCCAATGGGGAAGCCAGATTCATTTAACAACCGTGTTACTAACTTAACAACTGTAGCGATTCACTTAACAACTGTGGTAAGAAAGGTCATAAAATGGGTCAAAACTCACTTAATGACTGTCTTGCTTAGCTAGCGATGGGAAATTTTGGGCTCACTTGTGGTCCTAGGTAGAGGATCAACCGTGCATTGTTTTCCCCTAAATGCCATCTCTGAACTCTGTAGATGGTTCAAGGAACACTTCCCAAAACTCACACAAAATCAAAATGATTTGCTGGATATTGAAAATATTGCAAAAATATAAAATGTCACCAGTCTTCTTTAAAAAAAAACACAACAGGGGTTTTTTTTTCCCTGCGAAAAAATATTTTATTGATCCTTAAGTCAAATGAGTTTCGTATTGTCTTTTTTAGCGGATTCAATAGATAAGTTTTCTACGAATGGGTCCATTTTAATTTTTAATACTGTAAATATAACCTATGCCAACAAAAGCTCTGTTTGGGGCATCCTCCATGACTTTTAAAATTTGGGAAAGGAGGCCGAAACGCTGGCTTAGATTAAAATTAAACCGCAATCCTGCACATTTTAATCCACTTAACATCAGAGAGAGCCAAAATGTTTCCCCTCCCCTTGCAACCACACACATTTCTTTAAAGTAGCCACCATGCCATTTGGGGGCCTCTGGAATTAACTTGAGGAAGGGATGAACCAATTAAAAAAAACCAAAAAAAAA